GCGCCCACACCCGACCAGAGCCGACCAGCGCCGACCAAGCAACCACCCGACCCTCTAACGGAGCCAGATCTACTGCGATTTACAATGGAACAGCGTCGCCGGCGCCCACACCCGACCAGCGCCGACCAAGCAACCACCAGACCCTCTAACGGAGCCACACCTACTGCGATTTACAATGGAACGGCGTCGCCGGCGCCCACGCCCGACCAGAGCCGACCAGCGCCGACCAAGCAACCACCAGACCCTCACGGAGCCAGATCTACTGCGATTTACAATGGGACAGCGTCGCCGGCGCCCACACCCGACCAGAGCCGACCAAGCAACCACCCAACCCTCTAACGGAGCCAGATCTACTGCGATTTACAATGGAACAGCGTCCCCGACCACAGCCGACCAGCGCCGACCAAGCAACCACCAGACCCTCTAACGGAGCCAGATCTCTGTGTCTGTTGTGTGTTGTCTCGGTGTGTGTGTGTGATTCTCGATGTGTGTGATCTCTGTGTTGTGATCTCTGTGTGTGTGTGATCTCTGTGTTGTGATCTCTGTGTGTGTGGTCTCTGTGGGTGTTGTCTCGGTATGTGTTGTCTCGGTGCGTGTGATTCTCGGTGTGTGTGGTCTCTGTGGGTGTTGTCTCGGTGTGTGTGATTCTTGGTGTGTGTGATCTCTGTGTGTGTCATCTCTGTGTTGTGATCTCTGTGTGTGTGATCTCTGTGTGTGTGATCTCTGTGTTGTGATCTCTGTGTGTGTGGTCTCTGTGGGTGTTGTCTCGGTGTGTGTGTGTGATTCTCGGTGTGTGTGATCTCTGTGTGTGTCATCTCTGTGTTGTGATCTCGGTGTGTGTGGAACGAGTAGCGGGAGGAGCGGGAGAAGCGGGATGAGACATAGAAAAGAAGAACCCCACACTAAGATGTGGGGAAAAAGAACTTAAAACACATAAGAATGATACCAAAAAGCAACTTGTATTCTTGTATGATCAAGAATCGGACATTTGATCAACGGCATGTCATCATTGTTCACCTGTCGACCCAGGACTCACACACAGCTCAAACAGGCGGGGGGGGTCAACGGATGTGGGGATTCGTCGGGAGGAAAAAAGCACCGTTCAATGCTGCGGCTACGGAAACTAGTTCCAAACTCCTGCTACAAAGTCAACGCCTTAAGCAAGTAGAGTAGAGTTCTTAAGCGAGTGGAGTACAGTTCTGTCCGACAGCAAGTTATTCAAGTTGCTTCACGGAACTCGTAGATGTCGGCAGCTGCGTCCGACCCTCTTGAAATGGATTTGAGATCAATATCGGCTGTAACCCCCATCCATCCAGAAGAGGGGCGTGGCAAGTCTTGAAAGCACGTTCGCACACCCTCTTGCTTCCTCCAAACCCGATGTGGCTCATGCACTCAGAAGATGAAGGACCCTGTGGGGAAAGATGTTGAGTTTCTTCCAAAGCTTGGATTTGTTTCCCTTCACACTACACATGTATATATCCCTAGCTAAAAGCCCCCACATGCTTGAGCAACTATTTTGCATACAACAGTCGCTTTATATGGTTACATATATATAGTTCTATAATGTTCTATATATCATATGTATATGTGTTAGTTCCGATATTTGAGGAAACCTACAATAAGCCCGGCCCCCTCTCCAGGTGTTCTGTTCTTCGCTTTGCTCGGAGAGCCGGCTCGTGAAAGAAGAATTGGGGACGCACGTTTGGCAGGTCATGAAGGAGTTGAAGCAGACGAGTTACAAGCCTTCCAGTGTGATCTTGGGATCTCGACAGCTCGGAACCCCGTAAAGGGTCGGATGCGGTCACCGACAGGGCAGCCCTCCCAAAGAGGTGTCGCGTTGATTATTCTCTCTGTTTTCCAGGACTGGTTGAAGGCTTGTCAGGGGTGTAGCAATCCCAGAGGTTGTGTCGAGATGGTTCAGCTTGGATTGTCCATCAGTACAACTGATCAAAGGCATTGGAAGAAGCAGGCACGAGACTTTTGGTAGGGTTCGATTACGGTGTTGAAAGAACAACAAGTAATTACATCGTACAATTGATGTAGAATGGATATATGTTGGAACGCTGCAAAGTGCAGCGGCGCGCCAGCCACGCTTTCGCCACCCTGGACCCACTGGATCGAAAGGGTCCATTTGTTTCGTGGCATACGCCGCAACACCCAAAGGGGTATGAGCCTTAAAAGAACGACCGTCGTTTGAGTGTTGCTCGCTTTGCTCGTTGGGAATACTTGGCGAAAGCGTATAGAAAAGAAGCTTTTGATGCAGTTCTTGGATGTTGGATACATTCCTGTTCTCCGTCTTCCTTCATTCTCCTCCACGTTCGTAACTCAGGGCCCAAACACTGTACGAACGAACCTCGTTGGAAGCTACGAACCCTCGCGTTGGCGGACCGCGGCGGACCGCGGCGGACCGCGGACCGAGGCACTTTTGCCTCCACAGCTCGGTGATGCGGCACAGCGGCGCACGGCAGAACGCCCTGTGTCGCCGTGCGGTGGATGCAGCACCCTCGGCAAATCCCAGAGAGAAGCGAAAAGAAAAAGCAAAGAAACAAACGAGTGGTTCCTGGTTTCTGTGGTTTCCCAATACTCTCGTTGTTGGTGTTTTCTTTTGGCGTGGAAAAGAAAGATGGTCTTTGGAATCTCTGGCAGATCAACGACAATCTGTTTGGGTCGGCGAGAGAGTTTGACGTGATGTCATGCTTTGCGGACAGAACAGATGAATGTCATGTAGCAAGACCGACCTCCTCATTCTTCCGACCAGTCCGACCAAAAGATCAAGACATGAATTCCTCCGAGTCAGACACCCCGTCTCGCAGCGTGCGCGTGTGACCCTCATGTGATTGACGAAGGTGCTCATCAGATCCCCCACAACGGGAGATGAGCCCAGATCGTCTCGCCCCGTTTTGCGGAGACGTGTGAAATCGATCGCAACAAGGAGCACAAGTGCCCATTCTACATTGGTTTTCGAAAGTGCGGCAGCAAGGTCCGGAGCCCTAGAAGGCCCCCCAGCAGGTCGTTTTCAGAGTGGTTCATGACATGGCACCAACGGGTGCCTTCTCTCCCTGTGATGAATTGATTCATGTAAGAAATCGACCAGATGACCAGATGCTGATGACCGACCTTTGGTTTCTTGTCTAAAAAATAAAATCCGAACGTCTTGGCAGCGAACTCGCTCAAAACGTGCGACCCACCGCCCAATGGCCCCCCTGAGCCGCACTGGATGGAACGCTCGTAGATGGTGGATCCCCGGAACGGCACCCGCGACCGACCAGTGAAGCCAACGGCGGTTGCGCAACACCGGCACGCCTTGATACTAGCATCCTTGCTACAGAACCGGAGACAGCGAGAGACCCAACCAACCTAGCACAGCTGGAGGGCTGGACATCACTAGAGCCAGCACATCTAGACACAAACGGAGACAGCTGGCCCTAACAAGCCCACCAGAGAGCCAGAGACTGTCGGAGAGAAGCGGGAACCCTACAGAGGCACAGCGAACAAAGGAGTTGGGGAACCCCTCACAGGTAAACCTGTTTGGGGAACGAATGAGAATGAGAAAAGGTCGGACTCGTGCAGGGACAGGTCCTCCTGTTAACCACTCTTCACTTGACGTCTCAACGTGGCCCAGAGGGGCAAAAGGAATTGTGTGTTTTCCTCGGTTCCTTTTCCTTCTCCTCTTCGTTTTCTTTCTGTTCGCCAGCGAAGAAAATGCAAGAAAGAATGCGGCAAGTCTGTTGTTTTTCAGTTACACTGAGACAAACCACTACCATGTCTCCGACAATCGGGTGCTACCAGCCCATCTGGATCGGTACCTTGCATATGGCAAAGGATTGTGGTATAGATCAGAGTACATCATCAACCGCGTGCACATCAACTGTGCTATGCGTGAGATTAAAAAAAATCAGTTGCCTCCCACTGCACCTCTCTGGCTACGCCTATACTGGTGGAGGTTCAAAGACCATTCGTGCTTGGACCTGTGTCGGGAGCTGACAGATTTCTCCAGACCTGAGGATGTAGCTTCGCAGAAGCTCGTGACAGCTCGTGGTGCCGATGAGCATCGGTTGCGATAAAGGCAAAGCATTCCTACCCGAGAATTCAGATGCAAAAAGGTTCACCAATTGGGAATCCGAATTTTCCAGCTGCATCGCACAGACAGCCTTGAGGGCGCGGAGATCTTCGTTGGATGGACCCACTTGAATGCGACTGTCGTTGAGGAACCCCCCACTCACGACCGAGGACAAGAGTCCCTTGCTGAAATGCCACCCTTGCGCACACACTTCGGGGCTCTCGACACTCTAGGCCTTGCGGAAGAGGAGACGGACGAAGGCGGAATCCAGCTTCATTCGAGCGCGTCGAATGCCTGCGTAAAACTCATGAGGTGACCATGCAAAGCGCCATGCTACGGATTGGGCGAAAAGGGAAGGGAGGAGAAGCACAAGGTTGCACATCCATGATTGGGAGGACCTGATGGCACAGTTGGGAGCTGCAGACATCAGAAAGACACTAGATATGACAAGACTGACAAGAGGTTGAGAGTGTTTGGACTGGAAGGATGGATCTGATGTTGGCAAAGTATTTTTTGATGTTTGTTGTGCTTGCGGCTTCTTATTGCAATTCGTGGCCGGGATTTGTTGGGAGTGGCAGGCGTGTCGCATGGCTGGATTGATTTGTAATTTATGGATGACGAACTAACATTGAAAGATCAGATTCACTACTGTTGCAAAGATCTGTGACAGCGAACTGCAGTGAACCTGGGCTTCTTTTTAGGGACGTTTGTTACTAATCAATTTCTGGGTTCAGTGCTGTCAGGTGCGCGCAACTCACAGCAGTATATGTTGACCTTTTGTATTCAGTGTTACGATGCTGGCATCAGTCCATGCCGCCACGCCCATTTCAGCTGAAACTGCGTTTGCAATGAGTTATCACGTGCGTGCCGGCGTTTGGTCAGAGTATGGGCGTTTTACGAAGGTCTTCCCCTCAAAGCCGCCATCGAAGCACTTGAAAACAGCACAGGTCCACTTGAACCAATCATGTGGCTGTGGGTCAAACGTCAGACCCACGATGAGCTATAGTAGTTATGACTTAGTTCTGTCAAAATGTTACCGTCTGTTTTGTTATTTGCACGGTTCCTTTACTTTGCTTCAGGTCCCGGTGATGTTTTGATATTTTTTGCCCGGGTCCCTTTCGATGAGGTCTCCACCGCGGTGAAAGACATTGAGGAAATCGTCGAAAGCTGCCACTGGACACGACACGAAGCGTTGTGATGTAGTTCGGGACACGAAGAGTGCCACGAAGAGTTCTGCGTGGAGTTGGTCGGCTGAACGACTTGGAATAAATAACAAGAGGTCTGTGCAAAGGACACGCAAAAAATGGATGGTCTTTACAATAAATAGCGTGGGTTGTGGGACATGGTCGAAACTGGAGGCAGTGGTTGGTGGTTTGTACTGCTTTGCGTGACCTTGCGGTTGACTAGAGGTGGCCCTTGCAGTGTCTTTGCTGTCTGTTTTGCGCATCAGTTTCTGGGGAATTCAGAATCAAAGGCTGCATGGTTTGCATGAAGAGGGGACTTCTAGGCGCCATCTCTAACTTCCATGTTCTGTATTGTGGTGGTCAGGCTCCAAGTGGATCTTGTCCAGAAATCTTTAATCTGTCAATGTGGTATTGTGCCAACGACGTGGTTTATAAAGGTTTCTGGTGGGTATCCTGTGGGCCATTTATAGACGGAGATCAAGAAGGGACCATGGGAGAGGACATGTGGAAAACAGGAATGGGGTTGAATCGCACCAGCCTGGTGAGGATCAAAAACTCTGCACAACTCTGCAAATAGAACCCTGTAAAAGACGTGTGGGAGAAAAAAAGAAAAAAAGAGATTTTTGTACGAGTCGAGGCGCTATGTGTGCAGGTTATGCACAAGTCACCTAATGAAAAAAAGAAGAGAAGAGAAGAGAAAGAACAAACGAACGAGCGAAGGAACGAAAGATAGATAGCTAACGAGAAGATGATAAAGCACCACTAAGATCCACTAAACACGTTTAAGTTTTGGATGTAACTGCCCCTTGCAACAAGGATCGCTTTGAAGAAGAGGTCAAGCAAAGTCTTCCACTTGTTCCTAGTAGCGATGCACCTGTTTCTAGTAGCTTCTTGTTACTACTAGTAAGGCACTTGTTCCTAGTAGCGTGGCACTTGTTTCTAGTAGCTTCTTGTTACTACTAGTAAGGCACTTGTTCCTAGTAGCGTGGCACTTGTTTCTAGTAGCTTCTTGTTACTACTAGTAAGGCACTTGTTCCTACTAGCGTGGCACCTGTTTCTAGTAGCTTCTTATTACTGCAAAAAACGCCTTTGCCCAAGAGATTTCGTCACTTTGCCGAGGCAAAGAGTCCACTGTGTGCCCGTACTTCAAGGCGCTGTCGCCGGAAGACTCGTCCATCCGATCTGGACGGACGACCCGTGTGTTCTGGGTCCCTTCTGGGAGGGAACGATACATAGCGGGCGACACAAAAGGTCTGATGACCTCCAACCCTCCAAGCTCCAGGTCACGAATTTCGGAAAGGCCCATCCAGGACCATTGCTCAAGCCTGTTGGCTGCATCTTCAAGACCTCAACCTGGCCAACGCGAGGTGCGTGAAGATGCCAAAGATGCGGAGTTGCTCTTGTTGCCCTATGACTACTTGATAGGCCAAGGAACCAGAGAGTCCTTGCAAGTGGCTAGCCCGCAGGGAGTAGCTGGAGAAAGCGAAGATGTTCTGCAACCAGCCGCTGGTACGGATTCTGGTACAACGAAAGTGGCTAGACGCGGATCCAGCAGCTCCAGTGATAGAAGTTCCTGGTGAACCCTCAATGAATTATGATTTGTTTCTTTATTCATTCCAGCTGAAGTCTTGCTCTTCAGTCGAAGTCGAAACCTCTCCAGTCCTTTGATTTTCAGAGAACACCAGATCGTCACCGAGTCACCCTCGCAAAACCCGATTGCAACGTACGTATTCGGTGAGGACCCAACAACGGGTGTACGAGTCAAAGGGAACCCGCCAGATGACAGATGAGACACAGGGTTGTGCAGCTTGCTTTTGTTGACTTCTGAGTCAGTAAATGGTCCGAAGATCGCTGAAGACGGAATCTTTGTCATGTTTTGTCCTTGCTTGGCTTCACGGTTGGCTTGCCACAGGTTCAGATGTTCAGGATGTTCCAAAATGTCCTGACTTGAGGTTTCTTTGAAGAACAGCATCCTAATATTTGATGAAGGCCACAACATCGAGCAGCTTGGCAAAGATCGATGTGAATATGAAGAGTGATCGCCCCACCACAAACCAGTGTCCCAAAGAAGGCTGTGGCTAAGCCTCACCCCCCGTTTGGAACAGATTCCAAACATCACAGGCAGACGTGAACATCAACTCCATTCTTTTGATACATGATATATCACGATACATGATTGGAGTTGATGTTCAGGCACATGATACAATCATGTTGATGTATCAGGCACCTTGATACATCAATTCCATACATGTTGATCCCTTGATGCATCTGTTCACCAAGACAGGAGTCGGCACGCAGGCGGAAGTCGCCGCACGTGTGCGCACACGAAGTCGAGGCGATCCTGTGAGGAAAACGCCTCCTTTGAGTTGACCCAGGCGCGGTGATTTTTCCCGCTCCTACTTAATGAAGTAAGGGAGTAGACTTACTAGCAAAAGGAAGCTACTACATATGGGCGCAGGATTGCTCATGCTTCTTCAAGAAAGCTACCCCCGCTTGAGGGCCGGGGGAGCTTCCTCGAAGAAGCGCACTAATGATTTGGTTCCTAGAAAATTTGGTGGAGCTGGCGCTGGCAGAGTAGCTTCCCAAAAAAAGGAAGCATGGTCGACTGTGAAGCATCAACGGAGAGGGTCAAGCAGTAGAGAGTTTTTTACTTAACTCTCCCAAAAAGCTGGTGTCTCAACAAACATAGAGATGAGAAAGGAAAGATTCAGCACATCCGCAGATGTTACTAGCCCTGTGATCGGCCGTCCAAATTCTGACCACACCCAGTGGATCAGCAGTTGCTGCGTTGTTTCATGTTCTCTCATGTTCTTTCATGTTGAATCCCAAAGACCTCTGGGTCACATCACCTATCCTCACAAGAAGCGGAAAAAACTGAGCTATGGCCTCCAACCCACTAGCGATGGCGTCCAACCAACTAGCGACTGAGACATTGAGAAATCATCGATCTATCATGAACTCAACCTGATCCAACCGACGAATACCTGGACCAGGAACTTCACCCATCCTCCACTCCTTCCGTGTGTCGAGTCTTCCATCGTGGCGCCAGGCAGACATCGCTGGTGCCATCGGGGAGCTGGAGGTCGGGACGGTCGCTGGCGATGCGTTGGGGGAGAAATGATAGGAAGACCTGGTCATCAGCTGGTCGGGTCGGGTGGGTTTGACTGATGAAGACTAAAGGAACATCATGACACATCGGTACATGGCTTTGTTGGTGGGTTCAAAGCTAATCCACCGACTTCGAGCGAAAAGGAATATGCCGAAGCGTCATCCGCATGTGCATGTGATGACCAGTGACTGATTTCCGGTCACTCTAGCTTTGGGTCTGGGACTTCAGCGATGGCCTCCAACTTAATAGCAAACTGTATTAGACGGTTCTTCCTTTGCTTTTTGTTGTGTCTAATAGCGATGGAACATCGAACCTCGAAGCGGCATTTTTCCTGTCTTTGTGTTGGGCCTTCACCAGATCTTCCTCTAGGAACAAGAAGCTACGAACGTAGCTCCTGGCATCGCTAGGAGCAAAGGGCATCGCTACGAACGGATCAAGGACGCTCCTAGGGGCTCCTGGCATCGCTACTAGTAACAAGAAGCTACTAGGAGGAAAGGGCATCGCTACTAGGAACAAGAAGCTGCTTCGCAGAGATCACCAGGATGCCTTCGACCTGGTGGAGCAAGGCCAGGTCGATGAGGAAGTCCTGAAGGACTGTGCCTCCACCAACGCGTGAGGCAACGGGTGTTGATCTGAAAGAAGCGGGAAAGGGGCGGACTTCGGTAGAGCTTTCGAACGAACAAATCAAGAAAGGATGTTTGCAGTTCTTCATGCAGTTTTCATGTCCATTGCAGCGGACTTCATGTTCTGCGTCCCGTCCGGTGAATACAGTTATTGCAGAGTTGTGGAGTCGATTTCGCTGCTCAAAGGGACCATAAACAGCCTTTGGATGACGTCGCAGGCGAAGAATAAAGGACTCAATCGACTAGGCCGTGGAGAGAGTAGCCCTAGACCCCTGGTGACGGTGTACACGGAGCAGCTCGTGTCCGATCGTTTTTGGTTTGGACCCGCAGCTTCGTTGTTGGAGCAGGTTTGACAGGTGGGGTCCCGGAGGTTCAAAGAAATGATGGGGAGGACAATCCTTTGGACATCGGAACTGTTGCCATAGATCCGGGTTTCTCTCAGACACGCCACACCGTAGGACATGCCGTGCGATGCCTTTTTGCACCTGGGATTTGATCCAATCTTGCGCGGCTGTGGAGGGGGGGCGGTTGTGAGCCGCGACAGTGTCCCAAGAGACCTGGAACATTGTGGAACATTGTGAAAATAGAAATCAAGAGATCCCCTTTCAAAGGACGTGCGCTCTTCCAAACCCTTTCACCCTCATGATGATGCGGTACCATCAAGAACAGTTGGCCGGACCAGTTGACACCGTTGTGCCATGTAGTGCCATTGGACTCGAAATGCTGGTGGTTTGGGCCGCAAGCAAAAGTTGTGCCGAGTTATTCCAACCTTGACAACTGTGAGGTATGTAAGCAGCCAGTGGGTTTTGGTGCACATGGGGCGTTCTTCAGCTTTCAGCGTATCTGATAGCCCAGGAAGCTTCAGCTTTCAGCTTATCTAATAGCCCAGGAAGCTTCTGAATCTGGTGAAGAAGCACCTGTTTGCTTTGGAGGATGCCATCTCAGAGGAGAAGTTGGAGAAGGCAGGAGAGAGTCAGAGAAATTTGGTGGTAGGAAGCTACTAGGGGCTCCTGGCATCGCTACTAGGAGCAAGGACGCTACTAGGGGCTGGCCTTACTACTAGGAACAAGAAGCTACTAGTCTGGAAAGGACCACAAGAGTTGAGGAAGACCATCGACTCCACCGCTTGGAATGTTGTACCGCATGCAGTAGGCCTGAGATATAGCTGGCCCTCATTCCCATTTTTTGCCAGATCCTGTCTATGCATCCAAGAAAGCATAGAGCATAGAGCATAAGGCACTTGTTCCTAGAAGCGATGCACTTGTTTCTAATAGCGTCCTTGTTACTACTAGTAAGGCACTTGTTCCTAGAAGTGATGCACTTGTTTCTAGTAGCGTCCTTGTTACTACTAGTAAGGCACTTGTTACTAGAAGCGATGCACTTGTTTCTAGTAGCTTCTTGTTACTACTATGAAACAATCCGAAAGTCATCCCAGATCTCCCAAGCTGCGAATGATGTGGCACCACAGACTGTGGCACAACTTTCTCGTCGTTTGAGGACGCAGTGACCGAGCGAATGATGCGGAAGGCTCCCGGTAGCCGAGTGCTCGCGCTTTTGTCCAAGCCCGGGCAGAGAGGCATCGCCACTGAGAAGGAGGACCCTTTTGCGCAACTGCAGCGACAAAACGATCGGATGCGGAAGACTTGCGGTGGTTGGGTGGATGAGACTGATGGAGGGAAGCGAGGGGCATGGCGATTATGATGGACCGGCGGACGCATGTTCGACTTTTTGTGGGCCAAATCAAACCAAGAGAAGGCCGAGCAACTCCAATGGTGAGTACCGATTTTAGACCTAGCAGTGGGAGACCTCCAATTCAGGAGCTACGATACTCTGTGTTTGCGCAGTCCAAAGAGTGCCTCCAAAAAAATAGCTTCTTTACAAGTGCCACACTACTAGGAACAAGTGCCTTACTAGTAGTAACAAGAAGCGAACGTAGAAACAAGTGCATCACTTCTAGGAGCAAAGAAAGGAATTGGAATTCTCTGGAGTCGTTCGACTCCGTTCGGACCTCTACGTCGCTCCGGTCCGGTCGCTCCGCTACACCGGGTGGTGACCGGTGTCGCGCGCCGTGCGCAGGACCTGAAACACATCACTCAGGCGGTCCGCAGGCGGGAAGCGAGCGAGAGGGTACGGGGCGAAGAAGACGTGAGGTAGCTGATCTCGTATTTGGTTTGAACATTCTTTGGTTGATGGTTGATCACTTTACAAGAGAAAGTCATGATATACATAACTCCAGGTGTCACTTGTAAGAAAGATGATGTATATATATATATGTATATGTATATAATTGTGTGTGGTAGGTGACCAGTTGTGGATGCGTTTCCCTAACATTCCTGAGAGAAAAGCCTTTGATCTTACATGATATCAGCGACCTGCACGATGTTCTGTGATGTTCTGATTTGGCAAGAGTTTTGCCAGCACAACTTGCGTCGGATGGGACCGCGCCCAGCCTCGGGTGGGCGCAAATTCTCCTGATCTGACAAAAGAATCTGGTGCCATAGAGCAACGAACATGTGCCTCATCAAGTTTGTGAAGGCACCATAGAGCTGCCACAAAGCCTTCAAAACGGCAGACGATCTGGGCAAAGCACCTGGCGCCTGCCTCAGGTGCGCAGATGTCTTGACCCGAGGCCAAGAAACCGCGAACTCAGGAGCGGCAAGCAGTGGGCAGGGAAAAAATCCTCACAAAATGCCCAGAAATCAAAAGGCAAATCTATATATACACTCGATAGTAATATCAATTTTGCACATTTGGATTGTTTTTCCCACATATTTGACGCTTCCCAAGCAATCCCAAGCAACCGGCCGGTGTGCGACTCCAAACACCGATGGACGTGGCGCGTTCGATCCTTCCGGTCTGGAGAAGACGTTTATGGGTCGACCGGGAGTCCCGGCGTCCGAAGACACGTTGTGGTTCAGTCTGGAAGCAGTTCTTCAAGATTTTCTACGTTTTTGGGAAACAACAAGGGGTGGGGGGGGGGTCCAGGTCCATCCATGCGCGGCAGCTGGACCGCGAAACACGGCGCGCCCGTGGAAGGCTCCACGTTTTTTTTTGCAGGAAGGCTCAAGGTGGTGAGACTCATCAATCCACCTAAACGAGGTAGCAGGTGAACAGCTGCCGAAACCCTCGCTTAGACATGGGATGTGCTCATGCGAGACTTGGAGAGGACGGAGCGGAAGTCGTCAGGATGCGCCGTCTTGTGAAAGCCTAGGATAGTCCTCGTTTCTTTCTGACCTAGTCACTTGTTTGTTTTCGAAAAATCCTTTAATCTTAGGCCATTTGCAAGACATTGCAAGACCAACTGAAACATTCTTCGAGCCCTACGAAACTGTCTCTCAGAAGATGTCGGAAGAAGTAGTGTCCATTTGATTCAGCTTTGACATTCAGTTCAGGCAGAAAGAAGGAGACATGACTTGCAGATCTTTCATGACAGTCTTGCCATTCAACCGAGAAGTTTCAAACCCAAACCCTGAGCGGGGCAGCTAAACCTTGGCTACATCTTCCGTTCCATGATTCCGAAAATTGGGAGAGTAAGCTACTAGCGATGGCCTCCAACCTAATAGCGATGGCCTCCAACCTAGAAGCATTGTATAGAGGAGTCACCGAGCCACCTCAAAGTCAAAGTCGCTGCATTCGGTGATACTGCCTGAATGATCGACATCCCTAGCACAACTGGTCGGATTGGCGTTTGGCCGCGCACCCCTCCCAGAGTTTCTTCCGTTGTCCGGGGCCAACCTGAGGAAGGAAGGAAGCGTGGAGGAGCCCACAGGGACGGACAGGGGGACTTGGACAGGGAAGATCGAAGAATCGAAAATCGCCCACCTCAAATGGCCAACGTTTGGGGGTGCAAGAAGCTACTAGTAACAAGTAAGGCTCTCTCTGGCTACTTTTCCCTTTTCTCTGGCTATTTTTCCTTTTTTGTTTTTTGTTAGATGCGTTTTCAGTCATGTAATTGAAAGCTATGACCAGGGTTAAAGCCCGAAATCCTTTAGCTCGAGACATGATGTGTACATGCACATCCCTTCAAACTAAATACTTATGCAACTCCTCTTTTATGATGTATTTCGTTCTGTAGTTGTTATTAGCTTTCTCCTTAAACCTATATACATATATCATACATGCATACATATAGTATATCTTACATACCTATCCATCCGTGCATCTGTCCATCCATCGATCCATACATAGACTGGACATGAGCCTTCAAGTGCACATGGCTGTTAGCTCTTGCCAACCACCAGATAAGCCAAGGCCTTTCCTATGGGCCTTGGCTGTTGCCAAGGACCATATATAGGCCAAGGCCCTCATGGGGCCTTGGCATGGGCCTTGGCTTGCCAAACTTGTTTGCCAAGGACCATGTAAGCCAAGGCCCTCATAGGGCCTTGGCGTGGCCCTTGGCTTGCGAACACTTGTTTGCCAAGGACCATACAAGCCACGGCCCTCATGGGGCCTTGGCATGGGCCTTGCTTGCCAAAACTTGTTTGCCAAGGACCATATAAGCCAAGGCCCTCATGGGGCCTTGGCATGGGCCTCGGCTTACAAAGCTCAATGGCTCTTCCCAACCACAATAAAAGCCAACCCCCAATATCCTTGGCATGGGCCTTCGCTTACAAAGCAAAGGTACTCTCTCCAAGGACTGTGAGCCAAGGCCAGAAAGAAGGCCTTGGCGGACATGGGCCTTGGATCTTGTTCCTGTTTTGTGGGTTTTGGCATGGCAGTCCGCCTAAAGGCGTGGTAGGCGGACTGCCATCAAAAACCCGGGGAAAAACTTCAATTTTGCACGATTAAATTGCCAAAAAAAATATATCAGATGCTGTCCAGTTCCATGTTATGAGGACTTGGTTTCCTGGCTTGTTTCAAATAGCATTTTATGAGCTAGAATTAGTATTTTATTGTGAATTTTTGTTTGCACAGCTTCTTAATTACATGAGAACCCACAGGGTCAACGTTTGTGTTCTTTCGCCTCCATGCACAATGTTCAGCCAGTTGATGCGAACCAATTTTGGCAGAATGAAACCAGATGATCTGAAAAGGCGATGGAAAGATGCTTTGTGCTTCATGGGTTTCACCATGGACACTCTACCTGATCAGCATCAATGGTATATTTGTTTTTGAGCATCCAACTGGAGCTAGCTCTTGGAAGTTGAAACGTATGCAAGCCCTCCTGAACATGAAGGGCTTGAGAAGGCCCGTGAGGTTGGTGACCTTTCACCAGTGCCGCTTCGGTTTGGTAGCTCCAGTCAGTAAGAAGCCAATTCGGAAATCCACCCGTTTTTTAACCAATTCCCAGATGGTGGCGTCCACCTTTGATCGTGTTTTTTGCCAGTGCGATGTAGAACATCGGCAGATGCAAGGTAGCGAAGGGAAGTACAAACTTTCCAAATTTTGTGAGCAGTATCCTCCAGAACTATGCAAAGCACTAGTGGCAAGTTTGGCCAAGGAGGTCGAGATGAGCTGAAGGGGAACAGATGAAAAATTCAAAACTGGATTAAGTCCAGTTTGTTTTTCATAGACCCCATCTTAAGCCCATTTCCACAGAAATGAGCTTAAATTTCATAGTTTTTCTGGAAAACCAAAAAAACAGCAGTGAAACACTAGTATTGTTGAGCCAGATCTCTTGGAGACAAGGCGATTTTAATCCAGTTTCCACAGAAATGGCCTTAAAGCTGGGTGCACTTCAAGGGTACTACTTTTAATCCAATTTCTATTTTATTTTTTTAAATCAGTAGTGACAGTTGACCAACCCAGACTGGAGCCCAGAAGGTTGGTGATTCAAATTTTAATCCAGTTTCGGTAGAAACGGGCTTAAAATTTTCTACAGTAGCCACAGTTGACCAACCCAAACTGGAGCCCAGAAGGTTGGAGATTCAAATTTTAATCCAGCTTCGGCAGAAACTGGCGTAAAATTTTCTACAGTAGTCACAGTTGACCAATCCAAACTGCAGCTTATATTTTTTTTAGATGTTCTTCCCTTCAGTTTTTGAACAGCAAAGGCACTACCTTAAAAAGACAGGGCATTTTCAAGAGCAGCTTTGAACAGCAAAGACAGGCACTACCTTCAAAAGACTGGCCTTTTTTAAAGGCAGTATTGGACCAGCAAAGAAAGGCCGCTGCCTTCAAAAGACTGGCCCTTTTCAAAAGCAATTTTTTTGGAACAGCGAAGGCTTTGCCTTCCAAAAACTGGCCTTTTTCCAGGGCAGTCTTTTTTGACCAGCAAAGAAAGGCACTACCTTCAAAAGACTGGGTGTTTCCAAGAGCAGTTTTTAAACAGCAACGAAAGGCACTACCTTCAAAAGACTGGCCCTTTCCAAAAACAATTTTTGAACAGCAAAGAAAAGGGAACTACCTTCAAAAGACTGGCCTTTTTCAAAGGCGGTTTTCGACCAGCAAAGAAAGGCACTACCTTCAAAAGAGTGGCCGTTTTCACAAGCAGTTACTGAACAGCAAAGAAAGGCACTACCTTCAAAAGAGTGGGCGTTTTCAAGAGCAGTTACTGAACAGCAAAGAAAGGCACTACATTCCAAAGACTGGCCTTTTTCAAAAACAATTTTTGAACAGCCAAGGCACTTCCTTTGAAAGAAGCAGCAAAGAAGGCACTACCTTCAAAAGACTGGCCCTTTTCAAAGACAGCTTTTGACCAGCAAAGAAAGGCACTTGAAGGCCCTTGTCCAAGCTGTCTATGGATGGAGAGATGCACGGATAGTCAGGCATGTATGATATATGATGTATGTATGCACGTATGATATATGTATATTTACAAGTTGAAGGAGAAAGCAAATAACAACTACAAAACAAAGTACATCAAAAAAACGCGAATTGTTGCGCAGCCCTGCACCCCAGCGTCATAATAGAGGAGATGTGCAAGTATTTAGTGTGCGTGGATGTGCATGTACACATCATGTCTCGAGCTAAAGGATTTCGGGCTTTAAGCCTGGTCATAGCTTTCAATTGCTAGGAAAACCATGACAAAAAACGCATCTAACAAAAAGCAAAAAAGGAAAAATAGCCAGAGAAAAGGGAAAAGTAGCCAGAGAGAGCCTTAAGTGCATCGGGAGTCGGCTTTGGGAGGGACCGTTTCCACAGACCTAAGGCCAGGAGCCCCGTTCGTAGCTTCTTGTTACTAGAAGTAAGGCACCTGTTACTACTAGCGTGGCACTTGTTTCTACTAGCTTCTTGTTACTAGAAGTAAGGCACTTGTTACTAGTGGCGATGCACTTGTTACTAGTAGCGTTCCAGCAAAAGCGCAAAGGAAGTTCCAGCAAAAGCGCCTTCAGGTGTCATTTTAGCAGAGATGCGCAACCAGGATACATCACAGCAAGTGGAAAGGTAGCTGTACACTTGCGAGTAGGTTGGAGGCCATCGCAAGCAACGGTTGGAGGCTCTACACTTGCATGCACTCAGTGCCACCAGATGCCAAGTGGGACAAACTGCCAGGAGTCAAGGATGTTGTTTGATCCCGCACAAAAGCTTGGTGCAGATGCTGAAGCGAAGATTGAGCAGATCAATCTCAAGCAACGCTCCTCTTTTCATACTTGGCTGGAGAAGAAGAGAGATGAGATACTTGGAGATCGAAATGAGTCATATAGTCATATAGTCATATATGGTCAATGTGTGCGTGCTGAGGGCCATGAAACACTCACGGCGAGTCCGTCATTGCCAGAATTTCCTTCATCCCTTGGACTTGTTTCCAAAACATGTGATGCGACCAAAACGGGTTCATCCTACCTACCAAAACGTCGCTCTTCGACCTAGCTACCCGTCGCTTGTTCCAAGAGCAGTGTTTGGGAAAATGCAAAGAGCAGACTCACCAGACAGGACAAGGAAACTTCCGATCGGCTCACTTCCGATTCTCAGGAAGCTGACGCCTCCAGATCGACGATGCCACGACAGGCACGTCGAGGCGTGCCCCAAAACCGGATGACGGGCAGATCAGCCGATGGGTTGATGATTGTGTTGAGCACTATCAGATGATTAAGCTAGGAGCAAGGACGCTACTAGGGGCTCCTGGCCATACTACTAGGGGCAAGAAGCTAATGATTAAGCACCATCACAAAATCTGTGGCCAAACACATCGGTGCATCGAAATGTTGCTGAGCAGCACCTGGAGCATTCTTCAAAGAACCAGCACCAGAGATGTCAACAAGCTCTTTGCAGGGTCTACAGGTGAAAGACTACTGCTTCTAGTCATCTAGAAAAAGGCATATCATATTGCTTTAACTCAAAGAGACCCAGAAGATCAGGTGCGTCTAGACTCGATGTCTTTCGTCTTCGAAGACCGATGCGATGGGGAGTGGACGACCGGTCACGGCGACCTAATAGCGTCCGATCGCTCCTAGTAACAGGTGCCACGCTAGTAGTAACAAGTGCCTCGCTAGTAGTAACAAAAAGCTATTAGAATTAAAATTAAAGTAAATTTAACAGCTTCTTGTTACTACTAGTAAGGCACCTGTTCCTAGTAGCGTGGCA